TGCTTAAACGCTGACTTAAATGAAATAACAATATTCAAGACTAAATAATTATTAATTTGTACATAATATATACATTTTCTGTCAACTAATTGTTTCAGCTCTACTTCAAACTGCTGTTTTTATTCAACCAACAATTCAAACAAATGTATTGTGTTCACTATCATATATGACTAAGGAAAAGCAGGTAATCTTCACGATTGTGAAGCTAAAACAATGACAAACAATTAATAGCCTATCAAAATAGTTGCTAATTCATTTTCTGAATAATCATATTCAATTTGCTCTTTTTGTTTGACCAACAACACAAATACAAAGACATTAAGTTTGCTATCATATGACAAAGAAAAGAAGCAAATCCTCACATTTTAGAAGCCAGACCCAGATAAGGTTTGGCTTTTTTTCCTCACTGAAGCAATTATTTAACTATTTTGAATGCTGATGATGAAGATATTGATTACTTGGTTGAGAAAGGACAACTTATGCACTACGTTATCCTAACAGTTGACTGTTGTCATGAACTTTTTCTTACTAATTTAATAATTTGAGGTCAGTGACGTCATGGGCCTTGGTAACATAATATAAATATGGGGCAGCCCAAATGCAGCGACGACACGTGAGCTACATAACTGAAATAGCCATAATGAAATTCCCAGAACGGTTGTTTTCATTGTCAGTTTCACAATTGCGAGCTGAGGCGAGTGAAACTGATCAGAGAGAAACAAAAAGCCCGGGTCCGTCCCTCCCTCACTCCGGCACTCGCACCCACAGATGTCACACATCTACATGAGTGATCCCTGGGCTTTGAAACCCCTCAGCTGTAAAGATGTTGATACGCTTCAGATGAAGAGCCAGGCTATATGTGGGTGGATCTTCGTGTTTGGCTTTTTTGAAGCTGTATGTAAATCTTCAGGTCACAAGACTGTTGAACAAAAGCCTGGATGGTGTTCCAGTGTCTTCATCACGGTTAGGCTGACATTTGTTGATGTCTCTTAACTGAAACCTCCTTTGCTAGCTGGCATCAATTTGGAGGGAAAAGACAAAAAGAAGCTTGCCTGTCTGTGATTTCTTCAAATGGAGTGTGCAATAACTAGCAGTGTTTTTCTCTTAACTGAATCCCTCTGCAGCACTCCTTTCTTGTTGGTCAGTGATAGTCTGTCTCACTGTAACCCTTATGCAAATAAGCATGATTATGAGCGTTCCCCCCAACCTCCTCAATTCTCCAAGTCGTCCTGATCGAGTGTGGCAGGCGGAGGAGGGGATAGATATAATGGACTCCACCAACTTTAATGAGCCAAATCTCAGCTATGGGCTGACATTTTGAAATAGTCCTTGTGAATGACAGTGTCAGCAGTCACCTTTACCAAAGCTTTCCAGGGAAGGTCCCTGTAATGATGGAGGGAATTAAAATGGCCTCCAAGGCGTTGGAGATAGGAGCCACAGGATTAGGGTGCAAAGCCACACCTCTTAAATGGGCTCTCCTGCCACACCCCAAATAAAGAAGCTGCCTTTTCATAAGAGTAAAGCACTCCTCTACCTACATGTCGCCACCCTGATATTTGATGGAGGGATTATGGTGAATATTAGCTGTTGACCACTGTGAGATTTGTTGAGATGAGCTGTCCCTCACATTAACTGCCCCGCTCTTCCCTTTTTCTCATTCTTCCCCCTTGTTGTGTGTCTGGTGGCAGGCAGGGACAAGATCTGCTGTCATTACAAACTTAATAAGAGCAGAAGTGAGATTGATGAGAAAAACAGAGGCATCAACTGCTCTTTTAATTAACTCTTGTCCCATAATGGTGCTGGGACAAAGGCACTGAGCAAAGAATGAGACATTTTCTTTCTCTTTCTGCCCCTTTCTGTTTTGTTGCCTCGCTCACCCCCGATAATGAACAGCCTTCTGGGACCCAATTACATCCAAGGCTGCATTAGGAGCACAGCGGGCCCAGTGGAAACTTCAGCTGAGTTTCCCCTCATCTCTCCACCCCCCCTCTACTCCCTGTTACCCTGCTGGAGATGGCCTTCACTTGATTGAATTTTGAATGTTGAACCCCTCCACACACAAACACACACACACACACACACACCCTTTCTTCTATAGTCCCTTACCTTCACCAGTTCTGAACCCACATGTGGTTTATGATGGAAACAGGAGGCAATGCATGCTTGTTGTTAGCTGTCCTTCACTTGATAACTGCCTGCACTGATAGAGTGGCTTTGTATACAATGTGTAATGGGGTGGGCTGTGTGAATTGGTGCACTAAAGCCTGTTTGAGTGTCTTGTCCCTGCAACATCCTGCACATTCTTGTGAGGATATACAAAAGGAGATTATTTAGAATAAATTAACTGGGGTGTTTTTAAACTGAATAAAAACTGATGGGATATTAATTCAAAATCTATTTAAGTCAGTATAGTAGGTTATGCTGTCAGTGCTGAAGTAGATCAACAATTGAAGTAACTCACTCATTAACATTTAGGTGCTAAAAACATATTTCATATTACTCTTGTCAAGGGCACAAGGACACATATGTGCCACCCCTTTCAGTCAAGTTTAATGCCAATAACAAGCCACAACCAAAACAGCCTACTCAGAATCAGAATCAGGTTTATTGCCAAGTAAGTTCACATACAAGGAATTTGGCTTGGTAAGTTGGTGCATAACAATTAAGCATAAAAAATATAAATAAAGAGAAAAATAGAGAAAATAAGATGAGCCAAAATATACAAATATAAAAAGCATTTAGACAAAGTACTCAGAAGTGTCCAAATAGCAGTTGTCATAACGTGTGAACAAGAATCTACAGCCATGCTGGTGGTCCTAAATGCTTGCTGCTAACTTGCTGATGTTTAGCAGGTATAACATTAATCATCTAGTTTAGGGTGTGTTAGCATGCTAACATTTTCTAATGTACTAAATGCAAAGTACAGCTGAGGCTGAAGGTAATGTCATTAGTTTAAGTATTTGGTCATAAACCAAAGTACTGGACAAATTAAGTGTAGGCATGACCAGTTATTACAATTCATCCTCTGGGTACCATGACTGTCTGATATCATAGCAATCAATTCAGTCGTTGTCGAAACATAGTAAAATGTTAAACTCATGGTGGCACTAGAGGAAAAGTCAGTAGATCATCAAAGTCAGTCAGTAGACCATCCTCTGGGGACCATGAATGGAAAACTGAATGCAAACGTTTATGGTAGAGAGAGGTCATGCATTAGTATGGCTAATACACACATATATATATATTTGTGTTAACATTCTTGTACCGAGTATTCACAGACACTTAACTAGAGTCTTGGAGGCCTCTGTAGGATATGTACAGTATGTGATGGCTGAATGTCTTTAGATAGGGACTGCCTCTAAATACAATGCTTGAAGAGACCCAGGCATTAATAACAATTATTGGTGTTTTTAGTTTCCTCAGACACCTTAAGTGTGGTGTATTGACTGCTATGCTGGAAAGAATGTTGCCTATTGATTTGGCCAAGGCAGAAACCGATGGTGTCCTCTTCCTGTAAGGCTTGAATTAATCCTTATGTGCTACCAGTGAGTGAATAACTTACCAACTACGACCCAGTGACTGGAGAGCCGTCTCACCGCTTCTGTGTGAGCTCACAGTATATACTGGCTGATTTGCCTACTAAAAAGTCAAACCAAAAAAGAGATGGGCACATCATGCATGCATGCATGGGATGACAGGATGGTGTAAGAAAAAGGAAAAAGGCAATAGCTGCTGCAACTTCTGAGAGCAAGAGAGTCATGTGCTACAACTCCGACAAAGAGAAGAAAGACTAACATAAATCAGTAATTAAACAGAGTTGGATTTTTTTTTCACAACTTTGTTTTGGGTTTGCATAAGTCCAATGGAATTTTATTCTACCATACAAAACAGATACTATTTACTTCTGTTAGTAAATGTCAGAAATTTAAGACTGTTGCAGCATGCAGTAATGTTTTTACTGGTCCATTGTCTCATCCCTAACCAGCACTTTGTGTATACTGTACTACCATGCTTGGTCTACCTCCCTATGGACTGTATGGTTACTAACAGCTCATCCACTATTGCTTAGGGGTCTTATTTTGTTCTAGAAGAAAGACTTTATACTGTCAAACTCAGACATCCCATGTGATTGAAGGCCGATGGGCATGGAACTCTCAGAGCTGCCCTCAAAGCTGCAACAATGCCTGCTTTCACGTAGCCAACTTGTGGTGGGTGGAGTGGAAGAACAAAGGCAGACTTGTTAGGGTTTAGATGCCTTTATTATTCTTTTATTTGGCTGCAATCCTCGTCTATCTGACCATATTCATTAAGATTTTGGCTACATTGGCTTGTGGGGTCTGTGGCTCTAGGAGCAGTTACTGTATGTGACTCAAAACACATCAAGCACTCTACTTTTCTTTTGTAGAAATCAACGTACAGAAATCATAAAAAATAGATCTATATTCCTTTAGCTCATCATGTTTTCAACTTACATGTACTAAAAATGAATACAGTTGAAACAATGTGATTCAGGGTAGTTAAATAAAAAACAACAAATATCAGGATGCAAATTTCCACCTATATAGATATAATCTCTAATTATTTATAATGAGGAACTGCTTTAATACGTGTTTCTTAAGCTTTGCTGTACTGAAAGCATAATTACAAACCCATTTGGCCACCTAAAGGTACTTATAACAAACACCCTCCAGGTAAAGGTCCAGTGTGTAA